ACGTATCACAAGTTATTGCACCATGGTAACACGTGTGCATTGTTGCAACTCGGTGATTAGGTGTTGGCCTAGCCTTACATTGCATGAGCTGTGTAATAGATACACTGGGATGAAGCCAGAAGGAGTTCACTCTCCTCGCAGATCACTCTGATATATGTCTTGAAACTCCAGGGGAAAGTAGGCTCAGAAGTCTAAGGGTGTGATTTTCACAACTGGGCTTTTGTTCACATCAGAATTGCTTCTCTTTCCATTAAAAGTGCGAAAGCACCTTGAAGCAGGTCATCTGCAGGTCAAATGCATCTGCAATGAATTCTCAGTGGTCTTAGAAGAATCATAAACTGCTGGCAAAAGTAAGCTTCATGTGCCCATAATGGTGGCCATGCTATCTATGTTTATTTGATGGTGGCCATGCTGTCTATGTTTATTTGATGGTGGCCATGCTGTCTATATTTATTTGATGGTGGCCATGCTGTCTATGTTTATTTGATGGTGGCCATGCTGTCTATGTTTATTTGATGGTGGCCATGCTGTCTATGTTTATTTGATGGTGGCCATGCTGTCTATGTTTCTTTGATGGGGGCCATGCTGTCTATATTTATTTGATGGTGGCCATGCTGTCTATGTTTATTTGATGGTGGCCATGCTGTCTATGTTTATTTGATGGTGGCCATGCTGTCTATGTTTATTTGATGGTGGCCATGCTGTCTATGTTTATTTGATGGCGGCCATGCTGTCTATGTTTATTAGATGGTTTTCATGCTGTCTACGTTTATTTGATGGTGGCCATGCTGTCTCCATTTATTTGATGGTGGCCATGCTATCTATGTTTATTTGATGGTGGCCATGCTGTCTATGTTTACTTGATGGTGGTCATGCTGTCTATGTTTACTTGATGGTGGTCATGCTGTCTATGTTTATTAGATGGTGGCCATGCTGTCTACGTTTTCTTGATGGTGTCCATGCTGTCTACGTTTACTTGATGGTGGCCATGCTGTCTACGTTTACTTGATGATGGCCATGCTGTCTACATTTATTTGATGGTGGTCATGCTGTCTATGTTTATTTGAAGATAGCCATACTGTCTATATTAATGTGATTGTCTATGTTTACTTGATGGTGGCCACACCACATACATGTTTGTATATAGCCTGTTGGGATTAAGCCATAGTACTCAGTGGCTGAACGGTACACAACCCCACATGCAGACAGTCTTCTTTTGGAATTATGTGCCTATAAGAACATGAACCCAGCCAAACAATTAAATACACACACACACACACACACACACACAGGAGCTGTTTTACCTGCCAAAGGATTTGTTTTTTCTGTCTATCAAGTCCTGAGATTTACCCAGCTCTGCCGCACAGCGCAACCCCACCCCAAAAAGCTAGTTGACTTTCTCTGACCTCAGTACTTTCCAAATCATTGACCCCGTTGCCATACAGTGATTCTGAAATTAAGACAGAGGATCAACATGGCAGCCAAGACGCCAACATTATCAGAATCCAATAGCAGCTTTTTTATTACTCTCATGACAGATTCTCACCAACACTTTGCAATTGATTACCGAATAGGACCATCTGAGCTTGAGCATTGAACTTGTTCTCTTAAATATATTCCCAAGTGGGAAGAAGAATGATTCATTGTAATCACACTATTTTAAAATGGAAAAATCTGTTCTAGATTTCACGCTGCTTCATCTAAGCATTGATTCTTTTTTTTTTAGTGGTGCTATTTTTAATGCTCTGGTAGCCCCTGTAATTGAGCCTGGTAAAGCGGCGTAATTCATACTGAGGAATTATGCTTTCTAGTGCTATACAATTCTTTGGAAGTGTTCCAATTTTCTGAAATGTTTCAACTCAATTTCAAACCTCAAAGCACATCCAACATCCTTTTTTTTCATTTCATGTCATTGTTTAGTGTAAATATTAAAGTCAACCTGGCATTACGTTTACACTGAAAGGAAAATCGCTCTCTGTAAATGGTAACCCATTCCAATTATTCATATCATTAAATGCCAGAGTGGAAAGTACCACTGTTAGGTCTATGTATTTGTTGCCTTGCCTTTGTAAACTGGATTCTGGAGCTGTCATATTAAAAGTGAACCCGTTCTCCATTTTAAACCTAAGGAGTTGTAAAGTCCCAGCATTTCCTCTCCTGTTATAACATCGGCAGTGTAATAGGAATACATACTAGAGCTGATTTTGATAATACAATCAAAGCTTACATGAAAAAATCCCTTTTAGGTAGCGAGTGCCACCTTCCATCTGCCCATCACTTTTATCAACTTCCTGGATTCCCAGTGTGCTTTGCATCTCATTCCCTGCTGCTTGATGTGATGCAATCTCCATTTCTAAAGACTACATGTCCCATCGTGCATTGCTTCTAGCAAACAATGATAATGTTACATTGTTGTTCAGACGGTAGGCTCTGTAAGCGTTGTGACACAAGGAAATACATATTCACTAGACATGTAAGCTGCAGAAAAATTCGGTTCGAATATTTAGCTATTTCAGGATTCAGGTCCATAACTCAATCCCATTCTGGGTTTCGGATTCGAACGAAATCCAAATTTTCTTTAGCTTCGGAGCTTCGGATAAGTTTATGAACGAATATTCATTACGACTACCGCAGAAACCATATACAGATAATAACACTAAAGCTGAATCTCCCAGATCCGAATGGCATTCGGGAGCTATATTTACATACAGGTGAAACTCGAAAAATTAGAATATCGTGCAAAAGTTCATTTATTTCACTAATGCAACTTAAAAGGTGAAACTAATATATGAGATAGACTCATTACATGCAAAGCAAGATAATTCAAGCCGTGATTTGTCATAATTGTGATGATTATGGCTTACAGCTCATGAAAACCCAGATCCACAATCTCAGAAAATTTTTGGCAGTGTGGGCAGGTGCCAAGTCCTGCTGGAAAATGAAGTCAGCATCCCCATAGAGCTCGTCTGGGGAAGAAAGCATGAAGTGCTCCAAAATCTCCTGGTAGACGGCTAATTTGCATTAGTGAAATAAATGAACTTTTGCACGATATTCTAATTTTTCGAGTTTCACCTGTATATTATTAAAGCTGAGGCTCCAAGACCCAAATAAAATTTAGGAGCTCCCGAATGCAATTCGGAAGTTCAGATCCCAAATGCAATTCGGGTCTGGGAACCATATACATACTGTATATTACTAAAGCTGAGGCTCCCAGACCCGAATGGCATGCAAGAGCTCCCAAATGCAATTTGGAAATTCGGATCCACAATGCCATTCAGGTCAAGAAGCCTCAGCTTTAGTATTATATGTATATACTGTAAATGGCTCCTATGTTGCCGTAACATAAATTTGTATTCAGACCCATTCGGATGAATTAAACCGAAAAACACATCTGACTGGCCAGAAAAGTCACATTTCCGATTCAGTTTTGTTTCTGAACAAAATTCGGACGGGACCTGAAATTCATAAACGGAAATTCAGATTCGGACACTTTCGGATGCATTGGGATTCGGAAATTCGTATGTGTCCGAATGTCTAAATTTTGGAAAAATTTTACAAATTTTGATTCAGAAAGAAATGAATCGCACATGTCTAGTATTCACAGAGCTGAGTGACATGGTGTCAGTGCATTGAGGAAGTCCATCCTATGGGCATCTTCAGTAAGTAAGTTTACAAACTGGATCTGGTTATTAGGAGTGGGATAGAATGTATGGGGATTTTATATAGAAATACAGATTTATTTTTAGTTTTTGACCATAGACCCCTTTTAAACCTAAAAGCCCTACCTGGAGCAGATATCACAAGAAGCCTACCATTCATTACTATCCCGGAAAATCTCTTTTGTGCTCATCTTTGATCTTTTGGTCTCATCTTCACTTTGCTAAAGGGACAGAACCTTTCCTAGCTTTTAGTGGTGGGCCACTACCCTGAAGTTCCTTTGCAAATTTACTGATATATCTCTGAATGTATTGTTTCATCTGTGATAGTGAGCTGACCAGGTCTCAGGGTAGTAAAGCAGCCTCAAACCATAGAGGTCTATTTATAAAAAATATGCATAGCTTATTCATCCAGGGAAACTGCAAGTACGTCCGTTCTGTGCGTGTTAACTGGCTGTGAAAAGAATGGGGCAAAAACCAATGTTCTTGGTATCATTTTTCTTCTGGTCAAATGTTTTTCTATAGGTTTACTCATAAAGAACAGAGTGAAAATACATCATTATGGCCACTAGATGGAAAAGGCTACAAAAGCATTTCCAAGGTGCAATAGACCCCTAATGTCACTTTAAAGAGTACCTGTCCCTACTAATAGGCTATTGAGCTTGTGAGCTCCCCTATGTGACAACAATGAAGTTAAGAAAAAAAAAAAAAAAGTTAAATAAAATACATGTAAAAAAACAAAAAAAAGTAAAGTCACCGCTAATGTAAACACGCGCTGGGTGGGTGCACCTACATACAAAAACAACAATTGCACTACACAAGTTGGGTATCGCTGTATGTGCCAGAGGGAGAGCAATTATTCTTGGTCAATATTCAATTCTAAACTGATGACCTGTACAGGCTTTGTGCCTCCTATGGACTATGGTATAGTATTTTGTCACCATTTCACTGAGGCACGCAATTTTTAAGCTTGGCATGTTGGGTATCTTTTTTCCTGGCACCACCTCATCTTTTATATTTCACATAAATAAAATGGGTATTTTATTGTGTTTCAGTGCACTAAAATTAACATAAGTGTAATTTTTAGTGAATCGTTGGGCTTGATAAAAGAGTTGCACTAATACCATGACACCCGGCCTCGGGACGCCCCTGGATGTATGGCCGGCTTTAGAAGCAAGTTCCCACTCTCCACCTCCCAAACTGAATAGTAGTTCCCCTTAGTGATGTGCAGTGTTGGGATCCTGTCTGGGTGTTATACAGTGGCAGCTTTCATCTGTGGGTTTTCATACGGGTCACAGGCACTGAAGTTTGAAGGTTCAGAAAGAAAACCCAAGCGGGGCTTACCTTCAAATATCCGATCTAACCTTTGCCGCTTCACTTTGTGTTTGTCCATGAGAGACATGAGATGGGCAGTGATTGTGTCTTCTCAATTTTTTCACCAATGTTGCTGAGATGACCAACCGAGAAAAAAAAAAAAATGTTCCCTTTTAGAGAATCACCTGTAAAGAGAAAACGTATCTCAGAATTCAAATGAAGACATGAAAACAGGTAACATATCAATTAATTGAGTCCATGCAATAAGTTTCTACAGGAAAGAAATATGGGGGCTGCCATGCCTGACCTGACCTGACTTGGGGGGGGACCTGGCCTGGGAGGGGACCTGACCGTTCTCTGCTGTAGTTTTTTTTACCACGAACATGTCACCCTGTGACTTGCCAGTTGAAGGAGAAGCAGCACACTGATGAGCTTATCTTTCTGTCACTCCGTTTTCTCCTATCAGCATGCTTCATGCAGTGCAACACACTTGACTCACTCCCTGTTTTGCTTCCCCTTGTCAATCACTGAGCTCTGCTCCATGGACTGCAAGAGGCTGATACTAAGAAGCTATCTGGCGAAAACACTGCTTGCATTAAAAAAATCTTATCTTATTAGTATACAGGATTTATATAGTGCCAACAGTTTGTGCAGCGCTTTACAATATAAGGATGTATTAGAGCTTACAGAGATGTATATAAAGAATCACTAAACCCAAAAACAATAATATTATGCCTTACCTGTCCTTAAATGTGGTGGCTGCATTAGTTTTCTTTTTTTATACTAAGAATCTTTCTAGCAAGTACAGACACTGCCTATTGATCCTGCCAGAAATGCAGTGTCCTTGTTGTTGGAAATACAACAGCATACTGATTGTGTTGCTGACTGTAACTATGTCTTTTGAACACTAGATGGCGCTGTGGTGCAATTTCAGTCTCTATGCTAATGCATGTTTGTCTATGATTTATATGTTTCCTGTTTGATGCTGTAATCCTGTATACATGTATGCAACATTCTTCCAAGCAAGTAAGACTTAATTCAGCATTACTCAAGATCTCAGTCCTTCATCTAAACACATAACCAACACTTGGTGCTTCTGTGGGCGTAACAGAAAGCACAAAGAACCTTATATTTCCTCTGCAGACTACCAACCCCATCACCCTCCATGTAATGGAGATGAACAAAGGCAGAAATGTCTGAAGTCCAGACTGGGTAACAACAAGGGCTCCCTCCATAGGTACAGTAGATCGAGTGAGCGTTGGCAACCTAGGACAGGAAGTGTGTTATTTCCAGGATCACCAGATGAAACTAAAGGAAGAGAACCTAAAGAAAAGAAAACTAATGCAGCCACCTGATCTAAGTGCTTGTGAGATACAATATGTTTAGATGTTGAGTTTAGATCAGTGGTTCTCAACCTGTGTAACCTCAGGACCCACATTTGTCCTCGGTCATTTAGTCGCGACCCAAGTTGCACTGCAATTGAATCCGCGGCATTGCAGTACAGGGCGTTCGGGTGATGGCTATTGGACTGTGGGCAGGCGGTGCGTTTGGGGTGTCATTGAAACTAATGGCAACGCAAAACACCTTCCACACCAGAATGCACTGTAGGTGCAATTGCATGGTACAGTGCATTAATCGCATGGGACTGTGCGATTAATGCATTGTACTAGTGTGAACAGACCCTTAAAAACACTGACAGACACACACAACCACAGATACAATCTCACACACATAAACACTCTAAAATATATAATTTTTTTCTTTTTTTTTATAGATTCACCCAGTCTCTATACCTTGCGAGAACTGGAGTGGATCCTCAACCTGGGTCCAGTGTGGGCTGCTGTGCTGTGATGGAGCTCTGTCCATACGTGCATTGCTTGTACAGCTCCCTTGTATGCCCTGTAGAGGTGCCGGTAGCCAGAATGTGACGTCAGTGCAGTCCAGGCACCTCTACAGGAGCTGTAAGCAATGCACGTATGGGCGTAGCTCCCTTATGACCATACTTCCATCCCACCCCACCTGAAGCTGAGCCGGGCACCATATTTTCAAAGGCTGCTCGGCATGGGAACTGACAGTGCTGCGCTAGAGGGAGGCTAAGGAGTCTCTCACCGAGAAAAGTGGAAGGCATGTGGCGACCCACTGAACACGGGGGTCACGATCCACTTGGACTAATGTCTTTATTCAACCTCAAATACTATGTAACTATGTAACTATGACCCAATGGTTTAGATAACCTATATATCTACCTGGAGTTCAGCTTTAGGAAACACAGCCAACTTACTGAGTGGTAATACTTATTTTGTTACAGAGCATCAACAATTTGTGCAGGGCTTTATATTCTATACATTCATATCAGTGCCTGCCCTCAAGGAGCGTACAGTCTAAGGGCCCTAGTGCATACACACACTATGGCCAATTTAACTGCCAGCAAGTTTTTGAAGGAAACACATGCAAGCACAGGGAGAACATGGAAACTCCATGTAGATAGTGTCCTGACCGGGATTCCAACCAGGGACACCGAGTGCTGCAAGGCAGACGTGTTAAGCACTAAGCCACTGTGCCACCCATTGAGCTTCCAATACCTGTACCTGGCTGCCCTACTATCAAAACCATTATGGTTGATGGCATACCACGTCCTAACGCTACATCTGGGACAGAAATACCTGAAAGGGTGTGAAGAGGATGGCAATCTTCTAATAGTGAATCTCCGGGGACCAACGGAAGCCATCCTGTATATAACCTGTATATATGTTGAGTGGGGAGTAACCACTAGCTACACGGTTTTCTCTACTCTGGTAAATAAGACCTCATCTGACATCCTCCTTCAATTCTAAATAAATTCCTGCACCTTTGATATGCTATTGATTTACTTGTGGCTAACATGAGGGTTAAACTACCTCCGAGCATCTTTATCCGGCGGGGAAAAAAAACTGTTATCTACGAGAGTTCTTGGATTGCAGCTTCGTGATTGTATTCCATCAATCTGCGCCTATTTTGAAGCATTGATTTAATGAAATGTTCAGAAGCGTTTCTTTCAGCATTGATTTGAACAAAGATTTCCTGTTGTAGACACTGGAAAGAGCAAGCTACGGTAAGGTACGCTTTGGGATCTGGGATTCTGTTCACAACTTGTAATCGTATATTTTAAATATATCTGGTATAAGAACCCGAGGTCTTCTTTCTTATCTTCCTGCAATCCCCTGCATAAGCTGGGAGGAAGACAGTGAAAGTGTTGACAGTCTACAACTGTGAACATGTTTATAGCAGGAGAGAGCACAGAGGTGGATCTGTAGGGTTTATATACACGGCCCTTGATTCCTGTCAGAACTGCTTTTCTTTCCATAAAAGTTGATGGGAATGCCAAAATATCCAGAAACAGCTTGATGTTGCTAAGAAAACTGTCAGAAAGAGGTCAGCTTCTGGTCAAATGTACCTGTGAAGGAACTAGGGTTGCCACCTTTTCTTCAAGCAAAACCCGAACACTCTAGCGACGAGCAGACATTTTTTTGGAGTCGTGGCTTATTCATATGTAAATAGCGCCACCCATTCATAGGTAAATATCGCAGTCGAGACTGTACAGTGAAGGGCCGGTAGCCTCTATCTTAATTTTGGTTGCCCCTGTCTGCCTGACATCTTGTGTCCGGGTTTCTGCTGCCATGAAACCCGGACACAGCATCCAAAACCCGAACTGTCCGGGTGAATCCTGGACAGGTGGCAACCCTAGAAGGAACACAGACAGAATGCAAAAGCACCTGTAAAGGAATTCAGGAACACCCCTGAAGGAACTCAGATGGATCAGGGAAGCACCTGTGAAGGAACTCAAATTCACCTGTCAAAGAGCTAAAATGGAGCTCAGAAGTACCTGTGTAGCAGACAGAATCTGGAGCAGTGATCATGGCAACCAATCAACTTTCCTCTTTCATTTTCAACACTTAACTAAGCAAACTGCAGAGAGAAGCTGACTAGTTGCTAAGGACAACTGCACCAAACGTTGTCTGCTCCAGTTTTGATAAATTTCTCCCGCAGATGGAACTCGAAAGGACCTGTGAGGGAACTCAGATGGAACTCAGAGGCACCTGCGAAGAAACTCAGATGGAACGTAGAAACACCCGTGAAGGAATTTAGAAGCACCTGTGGAAGAACTCAGATGGAACTCAGAGGCACCTGTGAAGGAACTCAGATGTAACGTAGAAGCACCTGTGAAGGAATTTAGAAGCACCCTGTGAAAGAACTCAGATGGAACCCAGAAGCATCTGTGAAGGAGCTAAGGAGCACCTATGAAGGAACTCAGATGAAACTCAGGAGCACATGTAAAGGAACTTAAATGGAACTTAGATGCATCTCAAAAGCAAACTAAATGCACCTGAAAGTCTACTGCCATCTATGCATGCATTTAGTTTTCTGCTGCTTCTTTATCATCCAGTCAACAGACTGGGCTGGGGTGTGTCCTTGATTAAAATGTAGAGCTTGGCAGCAATGGTGGCCCACGATCTGGCTATGCTGTGTAGAGGGGTGTCTGAATCACACGACTAGATTAACACAAATACATTCAATTCCAGTACTGAGAACCCAGTAATTGTAGTGTGCAGCGTTTTTGACTGAGATCACTGACTTCGAATGCATGTGTAAATAACTTCTGACTTTTCCCTGATTTTCATGGTAGTCATACATATTTCAGGGCATTGATGGAAAAAATGATAAACTGCCGGTCACTGGGATTTGCAGAATGAGGAGATTATCATGAGCCTCTGTATTTCTCTCATTATAGTCTCATTTTTAGGGAAAACTGTGAAATTTAAACAATAGTGATTATTATATAACTGCCCTTTTTTAGTAAATATTCCTTTAAACTGGAGGGATTTTTGGCATGAAGGAGAATCCTTGTAGGCGAACCCAGATTCTGCTTCCATCTCAGCTGATATTCTCTGGGGTTGTAAACTAGTCCTGTAGCCGTGATGTTACTTGGCCTGAGGCTGAATCAACTATCTCCCTGCCCTATTGTGTTCTTGTGGTCCATGAGAATGGCAGCTTCCACCTGGTGCATCTTACATAGGTATTTTATTTTGTAAGAGAGTGCCTTAAAAAAATAATCCTAACAAGTATGGTTGAAATCCAGAAGGCATTGCCACATTTCTTTTCAATCTCCAGTTAACACTATTACCTTCTGAAATAAATA